ATCAGAATTCATCTACTACTATTTTATGCACGAAGTCTTGAAACAAGAAATTTTCTTTCTTTTTTCTTCTTTTTTTTAAACATAAATTCTAACTTCAAAACAACAAACAACACTTATCTTAAAAACAACAAACAAACACTACAACTCCAAAATCCATATTTACAAACAATCACAACAGCAAATGAACTAAAAACAAATTAGCAAATGAATTATGAAAATGAATTTACTCTCCCCCAAACTTGAATTAAACAGTTTCCTTCCTGTTTGCATCCAGCAGGTTACCAAAAAAAAAAATACAACAAATGAGAACAAGGTAACCTGTGGCCAAAAGATGTTCTGGCCTATTCCTCCTCATAATCTGAGTCCCCAGACTCAGATTTATCAACATCTTCAGATTCAGACTCTGATCCGTCCACTTCATCCTCCACCTCCTGCTCACTGACTTCCTCCTTTACAACTTTTGATCTCGGCCTTCCTCTCTTCCTTGAGCTGGTTGGTGTGTCCTCCTTCTTGGTAGGTTGAGGAGGAGGAGGACCAGCTGCTTTTGCCATAAATTGTTCAACCTGAGGGTCAGTAAAAACTAAAGAAGGTGGCCAAGTTAAGCTTTGAGGAAATGGAGGCAAACCAGGAAAATTTACAAAAGTTTTCTTTCAAAAAATCATTTAACACCCTATCTCTTTCTGTAATGTAATCATTTAATCTGACTCTATCATACATGAATGAGTAAAACTTATCATATGTCTTCTGAAACAACAAATCATGCTTTTGATTATGGTCATGCATTTGTGAGAGTAACATGTAAACATGTGTCAAATCATTATGCAACCAACCAGGGGGGAAAATGGTCTAAAGTAGGAGCATCCATCTGCTCAACATGCTTCCTGATATTTTCAATTTTTTGTTGTCTAGAACTCTCACCACTTGGAATAGATTTTTTCTTGAGTAGAAGACTGAGTTTTCTTATCATCAACCACTCTCTTTAATTTTTCCCTTTCAGAAAAAGGTGCAGTAATGCCCTTTTTGAGTTTGTTGATAATGGAGGTAGTGATAGCCTCCTTTACATGATAAAACTCATCAGTAGAATATGCTGATACACCCTTAGACTTACACAACAGTGATATAAAGCTAGGAAACCGGAGCTTGCCTTTACTCCAACTAGCACAAGCTCCTATCCCTTTGAATACCAACTTGGCAGCATCCACAGGTTTGCCAACCAACAAACACCATAATAAAATAGCCTTTTCTCTAGTGACTATGTGCACATGTGTTGTGGGCAGCAACCTAGCTCTCAGAAAATGGTACCAGATTTGTGCTCTTTAATTCAAAAAATTCTTTTGTAAAGTGTAATTTTTATCATGTATGTCCTATTGAGCACCATTAACAGCTATGACACCTAACACTTCTAACATGAAGTCATGATCATTTTTCTTTTGATATTTTTCAAATTCATCCTTAGGGTTCTTGGGTAGAGAAAAGAATTCCCTAATAGCTTTAGGACCAAAGGAGACAGTAACACCCCGACAAATCACTTCAGTCTGACTCTTGTCTAGAATTTCAGAATAGAACTCCCTCACAACATTGATATTTGCAGTCTCTTTAGGGTGAAGGTAGAATTTTTCCCAATATTGGGTTCGGACTACCTCATAGACATAGTCAGGATATGAGGTGTGTTCCTCGAATCCTTTATCAGGGGTGGGGTCTCTAGCTATCATGATTTTTTTCATACCTCTCTATAGATTTTTCAGAGGTAAAAGAGGAGAGGAAATAGCACTCAGGATTAGGGGCTTTAAGAGGGAGTTTTGGACCGTGTGGTCCGCCACTACGCAGAATACCTTTCCTAACCATGATGAAGAATGACTCTTAAAACACAATAAAAAAAATCTAAAGACAAAGAATAACAACAGTAGATTGTAAAGACTTAAACTAAAAGAAAAATTGAAGAAAAATAGCACTAAAAACAGTAATTGAAGAAAATAGCACCAGTTTGACACTTAGGACCATTCCCCCAAACTTAAATCTGATCTTCTTCCAGAAGTCAGCAAAGATTGCACTAACACTTGTGACAAGAGAGATAGAAGTGTCAGTATCAAATGAGTTTTTTTTTTTTAACTAGAAATTGAGATTAAGAATTATTAACAAATTCACAACAGCAAAAATAATCATAAACAAAATAAAAACAAAACATGCTTAATTTAAAGTTTGAAGCGAGATTTTTGTCACTGTGTTTACTTTACAGAGCAGAATGGTCACAAAGAGAAGGAAATGTTGGCTCTCTCTCTATTGACTCTCCAAAATAATGTTTTAATCTTTGCCCATTTACAGTGAATTTTCTCCCATCTTTTTCACTGAAAATATCCACAGCCCCATGAAGATGTACCTTAGTGACTTTGAAAGGACCAGACCATCTAGATTTCAATTTTCCAGGGAATAATTTTAATCTAGAGTTAAACAGTAGAACCTGTTGTCCTACTTCAAATTTTCTGTCTAAAATCTGCCTATCATGCCACCTCTTCTTTTTTTCTTTATATAATTTGGCATTTTCATAGGCATTAAGTCTGAATTCATCCAACTCATTGAGTTGAAGAAGCCTATTTTCTCCTGAAGCAGTGGCATCTAGGTTCAACTGTGTGGTAGCCCAATAAGCCTTATACTCTAGCTCTAAAGGCAGATGACAATTCTTACAAAAAATCAGCTTATATGGAGAGCATCCTAAAGGTGTTCTATATGCTATCCTATAGGCCCATAGAGAATCATCTAACTTAAGGGACCAATCCTTTCTAGAAGGATTCACCACTTTCTTTAAGATCCTTTTGACTTCTCTATTGGTAACCTGAACTTGCCCACTAGTTTGTGGGTGATAGGCAGTAGCAACCTTATGCTTAACCTCATATTGAGCTAAAAGAGCTTCAAATTGCCTGCTAGCAAAGTGTTTACCCCCATCACTTATAATGGCTCTTGGGGTGCCAAATCTGGTAAAAATATTTTTTTTCAAGAATTTAATTACCACATTCGAATCATTTGTGGGTAAGGCAGCAGCCTCCACCCATTTGGAAATATAGTCTACTGCAACCAATATATATTGGTTTCCAACAGAGGATGGAAATGGGCCCATAAAGTCTATGCCCCATATATCAAAGAGTTCAACCTTTAGAATAGGTTTCAAAGGCATTTCATGCCTTGCAGAAATATTGCCAAGTCTTTGGCACCTATCACACTTGTGAACATAAGAATTGGCATCCTTAAACAAGGTTGGCCAATAAAGACCAGACTGTAGCACCTTTGCTGCTGTCCTCATGCCACCAAAGTGACCACCATATGGTGAATCATGGCATTGGCTAAGAATTTCCTCTCTTTCTTCCTCTAAAATACATCTCCTAATGATCTGGTCAGCACATTTTTTAAACATGTAAGGTTCATCCCATAGGTAAAATCTATTGTCATGTATCAACTTCTTCCTTTGTTGATAACTTAACTCCTTAGGCAGCTCCCCACTAACTAAATAATTAGCTATGTCAGCATACCACGGGGTTGTGTTAGTGGCAACCAAAAATAGTTGCTCATCAGGGAAGGTTTCTCTAATGGCTTGCTCAACCACCTTTTCACCTTGCTGCACTTCATTCAGCCTAGACAAGTGATCAGCCACTTGATTTTTGGTTCCTTTCCTATCTTTAATCTCCATATCAAACTCTTGAAGGAGAAGGACCCATCTAATTAACCTAGGCTTTGAATCTTTCTTTTCCACCAAATATTTAATGGTTGAATTGTCAGTATACACAATATCCTTGGTGCCTACCAAATATGATCGAAATTTGTCAAAGGCAAACACCACAGCCAACAGTTCCTTTTCAGTCACTGTGTAATTTAATTGGGCTCCATTTAAGGTTCTGCTAGCATAGTAAATAAAGTGAAAACTCTATTTTTTATTTTTCCTAGCACAACCTCCACTGCTCAATCACTTGCATCACACATTAATTCAAATGGCAGTGACCAGTCAGGGGCTATTATAATGGGAGCAGAAATCAATTTCTATTTTAGCTCCTCAAATGCTTTAAGACAAGCCTCGTCAAAATGGAAAAGGGTGTTGATTTCAAGCAAATGACTAAGAGGCTTAGAAATTTTTGAAAAATCTTTTATGAACCTCCTATAAAAACCAGCATGACCAATGAAGGATCTAATTCCTTTTATGTTCACAGGTGGTGGCAGTTTCTCAATCTGATCTATCTTGGCCTTATCAACCTCCAAACCAGTTTTAGAGATCCTATGTCCTAACACAATGCCTTCCATCACCATAAAGTGACACTTCTCCCAATTGAGGACCAGATTTGTCTCATCACATCTCTTAAGCACTCTTCCCAAATTTTCTAAGCACTCTTTATAAGAGTCCCCAAAAACACTGAAGTCATCCACAAAGACTTCCACAAACTGCTCTATCATATTAGTAAAAATGGCCATCATGCACCTTTGAAAGGTGGTTGGTGCATTGCACAGCCCAAAGGGCATTATCCTAAAGGCAAAGATGCCATAGGGACAAGTAAAGGTGGTCTTTGGCTGGTTCTCAGGGGCTAAGGCTATTTGATTATAACCTGAATAGCCATCTAGAAAACAGTAAAACTCCCTACCAGCCAATCTATCCAACATTTGGTCAATAAAAGGTAAGGGAAAATGGTCCTTCCTAGTGGCTTTGTTAAGTTTTCTGTAATTCATACAGATCCTCCAACCAGTGACAGTCCTAGTGGGTATTAATTCTTTCTTCTCATTTTCCACAACAGTGATCCCACCCTTTTTAGGGACACACTGCACTGGGCTGACCCAGTTACTGTCAGAAACGGGATATATGATCCCAGCATCCAGCCACTTAATAATTTCCTTTTTGACTACCTCCTTCATAATTGGGTTAAGTCTCCTTTGCTAATCTCTAGAGCTGCTGGTTGGGTCAGTAAAAAGGATTTTATGCATGCAGAAAGAGGGGTTAATACCTTTTATATCTGCCAAAAACTAACCTATAGCCCTCTTAAATTTTTTAGAACAGCCAGCAGTTGTTCTTCCTCTAAAACAGTGAGCAGATTGGACACTATGACAGGCAAAGTGTCTTTTTCTCCTAAATAAACATACCTAAGGTGATTAGGCAGAGGCTTGAGCTCTAACACAGGAGGCTCTTCAATTGAGGGTTTGAGAATTTTTAACCCTCTCTTGGCCAATTCTAATGACTCAAAATTTTTATTTTTCCAAACCACATCAGATCTGGAATTTAACCATTTAACAACTTCCTCAGAATCAGTTTGACTAATTTCTAGACCCTCAAAACCAGAAATTTTTAAAGAGTCTAATGCAGACTCATGCAAAAATTTATCTTTGACTACACAGTCAATGATATCCAGCCTAGAACATTCCTCTATGTCTCTTGGGTATTTCATGGCTTTCAAAATATTGAATTTTACTTGCTCACCATTAACATCTATCACAACCCCACCAGTGGCTAAGAAAGCCCTCCCTAAAATTATAGGCACCTCTCGGTCTTCCTCATAGTCCAAAATAATAAAATCAACAGGTAGAATAAATTTATCTACCTTTACCAAGACATTCTCTACCTTCCCTTCAGGATAACCAGGGACCTATCAGCCAACTGTAAAGTTACAGTGGTAGGATTAGGCTCTCCTACTTTCAGCTTTTTGTACACACTCAGAGGCATTAAATTGATACTAGTACCCAAATCACACAATGCTCTGCGTATGTAATGGTCTCCTATGGTGCAAGGGATTGTAAAACTTCCTGGATCTCCTAATTTTGGAGGTATCTTGCTAAGCAAATATTGACTGCTCTCTTGTGTAAGAGCAACAGTCTCAAACTCTTCTAGCCTCCTTTTTCTTGAAAGAATTTCTTTCATGAATTTCACATAAGTGGGCATTTCTTCTAATGTATCCAGGAATGGAATGTTGACATGCAACTGTTTTAGGATATCTAGAAATTTCCTAAATTGATTGTCTTGCCTCTATTTTTGCAACCTTTTGGGAAAAGGTGGTGGAAGTCTATTTGAGGCAGCAAGTGTCTCAATACTTGGCTTAAATGCTTGACCCTTTGGAATGGATTTTTCCATGGAAATATTCCCTAAAGATGGGTTTATTTGGGTCTGAATTTATGGTTCAACCAGAACAGGCAGAGGATCACTATTTTCAGCCCCTTGGGGGCTGTTATGGACAACATGTGGCTGAACAGGTTCAGAATTTACATCTTTTTCTTGCTGCACTTTTTCCTCTTCTCTTTTTTTAAGGTGGAAGGTCTAACCACAGCTTCTGGCTGATTCACAGATCTGCCATTCCTAAGCTCTATCATGTGACATTGCTCATTATTCCTCCTAGGCTCTTCAGTGTTACTAGGCAAAGTACCAGGGGGTCAGCTATTCAAAGTATTTGCTAAATGGCCTAGTTGTGATTCTAAATTCCTCAAAGATGCGGGAATACTTTGCACAACAGCTACCAAGCTATTTTGCTTAGTTTCATTCTTAACCAAATACTCCCTCAACAAAGCCTCTAAGGAAGAGGTTGAAGAGGTAGACATCTCACCAACTTGGTTTTGAGTAAATGGGGCTGAAGACTGAGCAGTGGGTTGCTGCCTTGGAGGTTGTTGGAAATTTTGAGGAGGAAAAGGTGGTCTGGTTTGGGCATTAGAGGGTCCAGCTTGCTGCCCCTGCCCTTGGAAATATTGGAGCTATTGGTTCTGCCTCCAACCTTGATTAAAATTATTGGAAAAAATGTTTTGGTTCCTATTTGGGTTTCCCACATAGTAGACAGACTCAGGGTTAGATGGGCAGCTATCAAACAAATGTGGCCCACCACAGAAAACACAGGTTTCACCTGTATTCACGGCATTGACTTGAGGTTGGGGTATTGGAACTTGAGGTTGATGTATTGGAACTTGAGGCTGAGAAAATCTTGCCTCAATGGCTTGTCCTTGGTTTTTCACTAATGTGGACAGTGCATCAAACTTGGCTGAAAGGGCTATTACATAATCTACCTCATGCAAACCAGCCACTCTTTTTGACTGATTTCTATCTTCAGGCCATTGGACATAATTTTGAGTCATTTGTTCCAACAACTCATGGGCTTGTTTAAAGGACATGGACATAAACATGCCCTTAGCAGCAGAATTTGCTAAGGCTCTGTTTTGAGTGTTAAGGCTATTGTAAAAGGTTTGTAACACTGCCCAAGAGGGCAAGCCATGGTTGGGACATTGCTTAAGAAGGATCTTAAACCTCTCCCATACATCCACTAAGGTCTCACCAGCCTTCTACATGAAGTTGGTGATATCACATCTGGTTTGCACTATCTTGTTGGATGGGAAAAATTTCATAATGAATTTTTCAGCCAATGTGTGCCAATTGGTTATGGAGTTGGACGGAAGGGAGTTCAACCACTCTTTGGCTTTGTCAGCCAGTGAATCAGGGAAAAGCTTCAATCTCAGCACATCATCTAAGATATTAGGATTCCTAAAAGTGTTGGCCACTTCTATGAAATTCCTAAGGTGCTTATGTGGGTCTTCCATCAGTAGACCATGGAACTGCCCCATATTTTGGAGCATGGTGAACATCACAGGTTCTAACTTAAAGGGCACTCCATTAACAGGTTGGACAATACTTAGGTCCAACTCATCCAACACAGGTATGATGAAGTCCATCATGGACCTATCATTGTCATCTATTATTGGTGGGTTCTCTATCCTCGCAAGTCCTCCTTCATTCCCATTTACACTTCCTAAATCCTCCATTTCTTCAAAATCTGGAAGTGGAATCTGCCTATTTGCTCTCTGAGTTCTTCTCCTAATTCTAAATGTCCTTTCAGGTTCAGGGTCAAAAGCTTTAAAGAAAGGGTGTGGAGTTGCACTCATGCACCCTTTTCAAAAAAAAAATTAAACCTGCCTAGCTTAAGCAACCCAAAATTCCTATTCAGTATCTTCTAAAAAACAATAAAAAATTTAAAAGGAACAAACAAAACATAATATTCCAAAATTGAAGCAGTAACAGTAACCACAAACAGATAGAATTTTAGAACAGTAAAAAAAACTAAAGGAATGAAACAAGAAAAAAAATAAAAGATTGACACGAAAATATTAAGAACCAAAGTAACAGCTATGAAACAATAGACTAAAAAAGTAAATGACAAAACAACTATATAAAACATGCAGCAATACAGAATATCAACAGAACAAAATTTTAAACTACCAACATTCAAGGGATTACAGTAATATCTATTATCATAATACAGAAACAGAATTCAAATAATATAAAATAAAAATAGAAGAAGAAAATTGAATTAATTAAGGAACAACAATCACACACAGAATTCTAACAATGTACGCCTTCGATCCCCGGCAACGACGCCAAAAACTTGTTGTCTTGCTAACAGTTATGCAAGTATGCGCGCAAATATGCGCGACAACAAGTAATATAGCGCTTTTGTGGTTCCCAGTTATTGTTCCCACAAGGATCTTTGGCGTTTTTGAATTTGAATAAAATTTTAATTGCAAATCAGAACCAAAAATAAAATAAAATCACATTAAATGAACTGTTATTCTAAATCAAGTGTGTTAAAGTGCAAGGAAAATATTTTTGTGAAGATTTTCTTTTTAAAAATAAAAATTTAGTTGGTGAAAGAGTTTTGAACTGACTGGAAATTAATTAAAAGGAAGCAATGTAAATTTTTTTATGATTTTCTCTTGAATTTTTAAAACAAAATTAAGCTTGTGATTTTAGCAAAAATACAATGTGACAACAAAGATTGATTTGAAAACAGTGTTTGAAAACAAGTTGGGTATCAATTTTCCCTTCCCCCATTTGCTATTAAGTTGCTTTGACCGAAAAATAGATATTGCTCTTAATCAACAGTTCCAGCTTAACGAAAATACTAAAACAACCATTGTTTCCCAACAACAGTTTTTTCCCATAAATAACAGATGACATATCCCTGTGTATTTGTCATTACAAGACCTTGAAGCACCATTTCCTTAAGCTATATGGGGGTCACTTCATCCCTGGAGCTATACCCATTGAGAGAGATCTCTCTCAACTTTTCATGTGCTTACAGTGAGGTCTAGTGTGGATCATTTTCCAATAATTCCACATCACTAGGAGTAGCCTATGTGTGGCCATCACATATCACACTCAGAATAAAAAATACACAGTAAACAAGCTGGAAATTAACACTTAAACGTTAAAACAACAACTAATAACAAATGAGTTCCGGGTAATCTTTCAATCCAACTCTAAAAATGTTTAGCTCATAACCATAGTTGTGAGAGCATCCAAATAGCAAAGGTCCATAACAAAATAGGAAATTAAAATGTACGAACAAAGAAAATTAAAAGGCAGAAACTATATTCAGAGAATAGCTCTGCTACAGTGCTTAGAAAAATAACACAAATTAAAACCCTAAAATTAGAACTGAAAACAATAAAAATAAAATCCAAAGAGACGAAGAGAAGAAGAGAGAGCCTACAACGCTTTTTCTTCCTCTTTTTATAGCTGATGCTCCATCATGCAAAGCGGTCCACACCTCAGCCCTCGCGAGTGCTCCACGCTCTTCCCAATGTTGCTTCTCCTTTTGCATGGGTAGCAAATGCACACCAAAAGAATCTTCAGCCAACACTCCTAACAAACTCCAGCTCACCCAATCGGTTAAAGGACGTGTTTGGTGTTTTCTGTATCAAACCAAAAATCGGTTAGGGTTGGTGTTTTGGTTGGTTTGGTTCTCAAAAGGAACCGTGGGTGAGGCTAAGGTTCTGTGGCTTGACCAAAAATTAAAGGATGGTTCGGTTTGTTGGTTCGATTGAAGAAAAGAATCCGGATGGATGGCTTGAGATGGGGTTTGGATGGTGTATCTGTTCACAGAGGTGTTGTGCTAGGGTTCACAAGTTTTCCACTTTTGTTTTCACGTTTATTAGCCTTTCTTTTTCCTTTCTTTCTTTTGTTTCTTCATATGGGCTCCTAATTTGCTTTGTAATAGAGCGGCCCACTCTCCTTTTTCATTGCTTTTTCTATTCTTTTCTTCCCTTTTGTCCTTCTAACTTGTAATGTAAAACTCCAGCCCAAGTCTTTGTCTTTCTTTTCTTCTTTGCTTTGCTTGGAAATAACACTTTGGGCCTGAAAAATACAAATACAAGCCCATTAGCTCCACATTCAGAATTATTCATCTCAATGAAATTTGGGGTTAATATTATACACAAAATAGTCTTTTCATTTATATTTTCACATTAAACCACGTGTTTCAAGTCACAATTCATGGACTTATCAGTCATCCATGTGCTTAATTATCAGTAAACAAATTAGGCTTGATAAATTGGGGATTTTTTTTTCAACTCAATCTTATATATCCATACTATTAGGAATTAAAATTAGAACACAGAGAAGAAAAATACTAAAATTTGCACTTATTTTATCTTATTTCATATTTGTGAATATTTTCAATTAACTTTATAATTATATAATAGTTAATTATAGTTATAAAATTAATTTATTAATTTATAAACTAAAAATATATTTAATGCTAGTGTCAGAAAACAATTAATATAATTAATTTTAGATATAATTTTATATTTACCTATTGTGATTACATGATTTGTCACTTTGACCTATTGTTGACAACTCATAAGATCTGAATTGGAATTCTACCGAAAAGTTGAAGAATACATGATACACCGCCGATGGTTAAAGCCTGTTTGGTTTAATTTATTTAAATTTAAAAGTTAAATCTAGAAATAAAGCTAAAATTATTTGATAATTATATGATTTTTCTAGCTTAAATTTTACTTAAAATCTCTATTTATGAATGAGTTACTTGCTTGACAAAATAATTTATAAAAACTCTAATTTTAAATAAAATTACCATTAAAATATATGAATAGAAAATGTTTTTT